TGAAAATAGCCTTGAAACTATAAACATAGAAAAACTATAATAAAATTTCCTAAAAATAATTTAAACCTTTAAAAAAGCATTTGAAATCAATGGTGAAAATGGGTACACATACAGTTTTATCAACCACCCAGTGGAAGATGCATGTGGATGGCTTCCTGAATGAGAAAGGAGTAGGAATTGGGCTAGTAATTGTGAACCATTCGGAGACACCGCAATAAGTCGATACGGTGTGGATTCCGGGCCACCACTAATATGGCCGAGTACGAGGAAATGCTGCTCGGACTCGATGTGGTAAAAGATTTGGGGGACGACGGCTGATTGTGTATATCGACTTGCAGCTCGTAGTCAGCCAGCTCCTGGGTGAGTTCCAAGCCAAGAATGAAACAATGGAAAATACCTGAAGCTGACCAAGCAGAAGTTAGAAGGTATCGAAGCGGTGGAGGTCGTAGAGATACCGAGGAGCGAGAATAATTTGGCCGATTCGTTGGCAATATTTGGATCCTCTCTTGAGCGTTTGCCAGAACACGACATACCCGTGAGCTTGACGTCGACTACGCCGGAGGATGGAAATGCCCCATCATTCGGATCTTTCAGGGGGAATCCCCCCATGACATAGGCGGGAGACAAGAAGCAGAGAATGCAAGCGGCACGGTACTGCCTGATGAAGGAAAACCTTTTCAGGTGATCTTTCAATGGGCTGTACCTGAGATGCACGTCAGAGCACGAGATAGCAAAGAATCCTCCAAGAAGTCCATGAAGGTTGTCCGACATCAAACTACGACGGTCTAACTGACGCCGGGAACCAAGAGAAGAGGATTAGCTAACATCGAATCTATCCATGGAGCCTAAAACCTAAAGTTGCCCCAGAAACCGTACAAAAGCTAAGAGAAAGCGAGATAAGAAAACTTATGGGCAGAGGGAATCAGCAGGAAGGGAAATAACAGTAGCACGAAAAGATCGCGGGAGATTGAGAGACGGACGAAAGGAAACCCCAAAAACTCCTATAGCATGCCGAGCAGGTGAAAAGCCTAAGATAGGCCTGCAGCAAAGGCCTAACAAACCGGTTCAAACCTCCTCCATTTTCCCAGGTATCATTTGGTCATTTGGGGTGTTTAGCCTGACGAGACACAGCGCAGTGGAGGGTTATGCTGTCCTTGGAATGGCATCCCTTAATCGGATCACCCAAGGGTATGCCGCTCTGCGGACAGTATAACTGTCTACTGGGAACCTTATCAGAATTACATCCCGCAGCCTAGGACTGGTTTCTTTTTGCGGATCGGTCTACCAGTTTGGGCGAGTTTCGTGGTGGACAGCTTTCCCCTAGAAAACTTGATATCTCTAAGGGATCGGCCACGAAATATTACCAGGCTGGCAGGACGGCACCCCCTCTTGGACCTGACAGACGGCCAGGCATTAGGCCCTTCACGTTACGAGTCCACGGATTCAGGTCACTTATCCCACGGTGGGTGACTCAGGCAACACGTCCTTCGTGACCCACGGTCCCAAGTCATTTCACCCACTGTGTTTGATTCAGACAGGATGTCCTTCATTTGGACTCACGGCCCCAGGTCATATTTCCCATGGCGGATGACTCAGGCAACGTGTCCTTCATCGAAAAGGCGTCACACGCCTCAGGTCAAAAGGTTGCTTCAGGAAATGCATCCTTCATCAAAAAAGCGTTACACGCTTCAGGCAGATGCCCAGTCAGGTACGGTTAATGAAGGAGGGGGGGGGGGGGGAAGTGTTTGTTCCTGGCAAGGATAACTTCCACATTACGGGCTATCTTTGCTAACCTGCGAAGTGGGGGGCAAATTGTTGGGAATAAATTCGATATTTCCTATGTGGCTGAATTACGTGCTAGCACGTGGTATCCTTGGCTTTTTTGCAGGTGCGGTCCCCCTGAGCCAAATTAGGACCTGTATTGGGCCTCTGACCCAATACGGCCTAAGCATATAGCACTGGGCCTCGAATCCAGTTGGATTTGGGAGATCTGACACGATAGGCCACATGTTCCCGGATTCCTCGTGTCTGGCAGCGCAGACCACGTTGTCAGAAAGAAGGAAGTCAGAAAATCAGTGGTCAGGTGGAGATGTCACATTCTCTATGTCCTAGACCTAAGCTCGGTGATCTGGAATGGTTATGATATAAGGAAGAGTGGCCCGCACAGATACCTGGAGAGCAGAGTTGTCTGTGTCCAGCAGCCCGGTCCCAGTATTGACGGATCCGAGCCAGGTATGAGTAACTCGTTTGAGCAGGAATACTATTCAAATTTCCCTCTAATCAACATTTAGAATATGCTTTAGTATAATTTGATTGCCCATACCATTACATACCCACGAGAATGGCATTTAATGCGTTTTCCTTACGTGTGTCAGGTGAAAATGATTTTTCGCAGGAGCCAGAGAAAAAACAGAGGTTCAGCGAAGAGCCATACCGCGTTTGAGCCGCCGACCCAACTCGTACACTGAGAACGAAAGGGAGGCGTGATATGCTCAGGTTTTAATTCTTAGTTTTCTGCAAGCGCACAGATGTACGTTGTAGTACTTAGGGGTCGATCTACTGAAGACCAAGTAACTGCATTACGAGTTTACTTGAGATGAGAACTGAGCTAAGATGAAAATATGGGTGTTTGTTTGGGGGTTGTGAATAGTGATGAAAATAGCAATAAATAAATTTAAAAACAAGTAAATAATAAGATCAAATCAATATGAGAAGGTATTAGGCGTTAGGGAATTCGCCGGGAATCATAAACTAGGCAACAAGAGAATTAAACATAGAGTTTTCTATAGATATGTTCCTGAAATCAAATCAAGACTAACCTACTCACGTAGTATTAATCACAAATCCTTTCACTCAGATTTACTAGGGTTTGAAGAATAAGTAGTGGGCTGAACTTGGGCTTGGATTAGGTCATCTTCGGCCGTCACTGATGTCTGGCCACAGTTGCGGTGGTCCTGACCGCGGTCGAGGCTTATGCTTTCCTTCGAGACTGCATTCTCTGTTTTTAGTGCATTAGGAATATCTGAAGATCTAACTGTTGGATTGTCTACAAACAATTTTCATTAGATAGATGGTTGTCTCCTCTATGGTGTCTCAAAATTTGGGGATGATCAGACGGTGAGAAGGTCTTCATCAAGTACCATATTTCTGACAGTCTGCATTTATCCAAAATTGCTCATTTGTTCCAAATTCCACATCTTTAGTCCAAGTTTCCTGAAAAGTCTTTTAAAACTCTACATATAAATCATTTAAAAACCATTGAAAACAGAGTTAAAACACCTGCATAAGATATTAAAACGATCCATAAAAGTGGTCAAAATCCGGTGTTATCAACTCCCCGAGACTTAAACCTTTTTTTGTCCTCAAACAAAACATAGATCAAGCCAGGAAAGAATCTTTAAAAGTCTGCTGGAACTAAAAAATATCACAGTGACCGTCCTTCTAAACCATAACCTATTGTAAAACATCTATCTGGATCTAGTCTAGAAAATTTTCACCAAAATACAAACATAACTAGTCTGTTGATTCGTAAGCGAAAATCTACACACTTAGATCTAACTTCCAGTAAACTAGCTCTTTACATTCATTAAGTGCATAGTGAATTCTCATTAAAGACATTATTCAGGGTAGACGGTGTTTGGTATTAAGGACTATTTAAGTGGTGGAGTTAAAGTATTTAGGATTTACAATGAATCGTTGTAAATTCGTTGTTATTAAAAAAAAAATATTTACGACGAATTTGCAACGAATCATGGTTAATTCCTCGTTAGTTTAAATAAATTATATATGATCATACTACTATATATTATATATATATTCTTTACGTAAAAATTTAATAAATCAAACATGAAATTTATATAAAATTAAATATTAAATAATAAAATTTAGAACTTAGAATTACAGTAGTTATGATAAAAAAAATTTATCCTTACAATAATTTTTTGTAAAGTATTTTTTTCAGAAGACAAAAATTCGTTGTAAATTTGTAGTAAATTTACAATGAATTTACAACGAATATTAAATTTATTTAATAAAATAAAATAATTGTTGTAAATTTGTTGTAAATTTACAACGAATATTAAATTTATTTAATAAAATAAAATAATCGTTGTAAATTCGTTGTAAATTTACACGACGATTATTTTTTATTAAAAATTTAATAATCGTTGTTAATTCGTTGTAAATTAACAACGAATTTACGATGATTCTTGTTTTTAAATAAAAAATAATAATAATTGTTGTAAATTTACAACAAATTTACAACAAAAAAAAATATTTGTCGTAAATTTGTTGTTATTACAATAAATTTACAACGAATCGTTTTACAACTGTAACGACGAATTTGTTGCTAATTCGTCGTGAAATTGTAACTAAAATAAATCGTTGTAAAAAATCGATGCACTACAAGATTACAGGTAAATAGCGACAACAATATTAGTGGGTATTCAGTCGTTAAATCAATATTTAAGACTGATTAACGACTATTACGCGTAGTCGCTAAGAATTAGTCGCAAAACTATGTAGTCGTCAATTAGTCGTAAATCGGCGACTAAATACCGACTTATATGTGTTGACGTCTATCAGTCGTTGTTTAGTCGTTCTATTTTGCGACTATTATACGACTAATCTGCGATCACCTGGCGACTGTATTGTAATCATTAGATAGTCGTTGCATACAGTAGTGAATCAGTCGTTAATATTAACGACTACTTTACGACTATTAGGCAACTTCTTTGGCGACTAAATAGCGACGCCTTAGCGATTAAATTACGATTGATTACCGACTACTTTAACGACTACTGTATGGCTGTAGCGACTAACTAGCGACTAAATAGCGACTGATTTACGACGTATTACCGACTACGTTGCGACTTTTTTTGACGGATTGCCGAGTTTGGTATTGCTTTTTGATGATGCTAATCCTGGTATTTGAATGCAATTCAATTGTAGGTTCGACAAAAACTACATGCAGTCAACAAAAACTTATATATAAGCACCATTTGCCTTAAAATTAAAAGCATAATAATACTAATAATGTATTACAACATCAAAATAAAAACATTGTTCCCAAAACATTAGCAAATACAATGGTTACCATATTAGCAAACAGTAGTCAAGTTCACAACCATTGCCCAAAAACACAATAAAGGAGATATTCAAAATGAGTTTGAAAAAGATGAGCCGCTGAAGCATCGTTTGGAGGAGTGGTTGAAGCAACGTTTGGAGCACCACCGGTTGCAGCAGCTGTTGGAGCAGGGGTTGGAGGTGAAGACGTGGGAACAGAGTTAGCAGCCTTGAAGTCCAAGAACCTTGGATCAGTTTCACTTAGATACCTTTCGAGCAATGTCAATTGCTCGATCTTGGCTTGTTGGGCAGCTACAACCTTGGTAAGTTCTGCTTCACGCCTTGCATTCTCAGCCACCTGTTCTTCTATCTTTTGTTGAGCTTGTTGTAACTGATCTTGCAGAGTGTTGAATGCAAAAGTGCTTCCAGAGTACTTCCTTTTGCCATTGACATGCGACTGAGAGAGGCTTCCTACACCATAAGGTCTTCCTCTCTCATTGGTGAAAGTCACTGGCAAAAAAAGAAGAGTCATTGAGTTTGAAAACCAAACAAACAAACCATAACTGACAACACAAAAAGCAAACAAAAACAAGAGCATACCTGAAGACGAGGAGGAGACGTACCATCAGATGTGCCCAAGTTGTCTGTCCAGAGCTCACCAAACTTGGCTTCCAAGTTCTTCTTATAGGTTTCAGCTACAGTCTGAGCCTTTCGGTCAACATAAGTGCCATCTTTTCTGGTATGAGTCTTGATGAAAACTTCACCAAGACTCACCGGTCTTCCCAATTCCTCCTCCTGAAATGATATAAATAAAATGGGCAATGAAAGAGTTAACAATGGCTAAGGGTTACAGGATTGAATACTAAAACATTTGAAGATACATACCATCTCTTGTTGGATTTGAAGATATGACTTCTGTCCTGATAAGTGTATAGGCGGACCTAGACCTCCACGTTCAGACATCCAAGCCGATGATGTTGTCGCTCTCCTCTCTCTACAGTCTTTAGTGTCCCTGGCTTTGGTCATCTTTTCCCATGGTGTATCGCCAATCCAGTTCGGCTGCTCCCGAGAAGTCCTACAGGTACTCACCATGTCTTTCATCCGGCGTTGACAGATAGCTTCAAAATGCTCTTGAACCACACCGGTTATTAAAGGATCCCAGGTGTGGGTTTTCTACAATGACAATAGATAAGATGATGTTAGTAAGTAATAACAAGAGATTAGCTATTAGAGAGTAAGCAATAACCAAACAAAACTAAATGAAAAGATAGAACATTACCGCAAACTCCACGAAGTATCTTTCCTGTCTGTCCCGAGGCACACAAGTCCAACTATAGAATGGACCATCAAACTTGTTTGTGAAGATTTTAGTAATCTTCCAAGTCAATGAAGACTTGTCACGACCAAATCTAGTAAGACATGAAACAATGATTAATCAGATACACATACCAATAATATGAATCAACACAAATGAACACAAACAAAGGGAAATGAAACAACACAAATAGAGGCATAAACCTTTCAAACAAAAACCCATCGACTCATTAAAATTCAAAGATGAGCAAGGTAACTGAATTATACCATGTTGTATTTGGCTTTGGAGTGGGAGAGAGGACCGTCGTATACTCTTCCCGGCCAGGCTTCGTGAGCAGTGCATTTAGGATTCTCAGCTGGTCTTCTGCGAGGTTTGCAGTGCATTCTAAAAGGAAGCTTCTTCACTGGAACTCTGAGCTTCAGCGGACCGAGCAGTTTGAGCTTGAGAGGATTGAGAGGTCCTTGGAGATGCTCCTTGGTGAGATAATGGAGAGGTACGATGCTGAGATACCGGAGAGTTGTCCTGGTGAAGCTGTTGAGAGGTGCGACGGTTTGACTGCTGAGAGGTGGGAGGTTGAGAGTCTGAGCTGTGGTTTTGAGGCTGTTGAGTCTGTGAGTGGAAAAGCCGTTGCGGTGGTGGATACTCCCTCACATGCGAGTAGGTGGGGACTAGCGGTTTTCAGTCGCCGGAGTGAATTCATACTGAGATGGAAGAGGCGACCGAGTTCTCCCTTTCGACGCACCTCCTCGTGATTTCTTCTTTCTATTCCCAGGCATCGATACAGATTAAGAGAGCGTAATCGGGTAGAATAGACAGAAATTGGGTTTAAGTTTGAGATTGAAGAGACAAGAGACAAAGATCGAAGAGAGATTCAGGTGTTTGGGGAAAAGATTGAAGAGGGATTAGAGAAATTGGGGTTCGGGAGTTAGAGGAATTGTGAGAATTGGGGATTTTGGCTCGATGATTTGGGGGCAATTAGTCGGCCTTAGGCTTTAATTGGGCCTGATTTCGTAGTTAGTTAATTGGGCCTTTTAGTCGTCAATTGGTCGTGATTCAGTTGCAAAATGCTATTAATTATTAAACAAGATCAACATAGTATATTATACAACTTATTTGGTACATAGTTATTATTCAAATTCGAAAAATACAAAAAAACAATGATTCACACAATCTAGTAAGGTTCTTCTTCATTATCCTCATCATCATCTGAAGAGGACAAATTACATTGAAATTCATCCTCTGGTTCTGCATCTCCAACGTCGAAATCAAGATTTATCAGATTCACTCTGTGCACTCGATTATCGACCACGAGATCCTCAAATGTAGTCAGCATGACAGCATCATCATTAATTTCTTGCAATAGAGTGGTTCTTTGTTTTCATATTCTACGGATATATTTCCTCTCGGATTTATTTCTAAAACGTTAAGCCACAACTGTTTTGGTCTCCTCCGATATGGGTACGTGATGAAACAAACTTGGTCCGCTTGAGAAGTTGTGAAATAAAAGGGTATAGAAATGTCAATAACTATATATAATAAATATAAGTATATTTATATATATACATATATACCTAGAATAAATGGTTCATATTTATTATATCTTCTCGATGAAAGAACATCAACGATGCCCCCATTACTCTTTCGAGTGCCTCTACCAATAACAGGGTCATATCAGGTACACTTAAAAAGTGTAATTTTCAAATTGACCATTCCCTCATACTCGAGTTGTATGATATCAGTTAAGGTCCCATAGAAATCAGCATCATCAGATGCATCCGTATAATTTTCTCCTTTGACACACACCCCATAATTACATGTCTTCCGTCCTATATCGTGATTCTGCGTATGAAACAAATATCCTCGGGTAAAATTGATAGGCCAGGTTTTTGCCTTATTCACGGGTCTGTGCACTACTTCTTGAACCCAAATAGGAAAAGGATTTGTGACATTCCAATAAGTAACCTGCACACATATGTATAAAATTTATTATTTTTTAATATAATAAATTCAAAGGAGAAAATTATAGTTAGACTTACATAGTCTTTCACCCATGAAGGATACTCGTCAGCTCGTTTTGCGGAAACGTCTTTTTCAGAAAGTGTTGGATATTTGGCAGAGATATAATCTTCAAAAATACTATGTATAAATCAACATATAGTTAGTATAAAACTAATGGTAGATTATATTAAAACATAAACTGAAAAATGCTAAATTATATATACCTTTCAAAAGGCTGAAAGTATTCACAATTTCGCAAAAAATATGCATGTGCAATTTGATGGTCTTTCTCTGAAAGCCATATTTCATGCATTTGGCTACTTGAACGACCTATGTGAGTAAATATTTCAGGAACTCCAGGGACATCAAATACGGGGACTTCACATTGATCGAATCTTTGTTAACCTGGCCAATTTAATAAAAACTGATTTAAATTAAGCAAAGTGGACATATTTGCATTTTTGAAATAAATTAAGAATTTACCTTGATTTCGTTTGTATATTTGAAGCAAAGTAATGCTCTGTGAAATAAGTTATCTCGTCACTGATATATGATTCAACAAGCGATCCTGACGCATATCTTTTGTTCTTTGCTTTTGCCTTCAACTTTTTGAAAAATCTTCCAAAAGGATATATCCATCTATACTGCACAGGGCCTCCTAATTCAGCTTTGTAGGGGAGATGTATGGGGAGGTGCTCCATCACGTCAAAAAATGAGGGTGGAAAGATCTTTTCCAAATTGCACAAGATCAAAACTATGTTCTGTTTCAGAATTCTTACGGGTCTTTTTGCAAAGTTCTAGAACATAAGTCACGGAAGAATCCTCCAATCCCTAAAATATTCAAACTCAAGTGGTTAATATAATATATTGTAATTATACTTAATTGTAAATTAAACTGATTTGAATTAAAACAAAGTACCCGATAATGCAAGATGGACATAGCCAAAGTTCTGCAAAGATAAATGGAAGTAGCCGCTCCATAAAAACATGGCAGTCATGACTCTTCATGCCTGAAAACTTTCCTTTCTCTATATCAGCACAACTTGCTCAGTCTGCCGCATGACCGTCTCGGAATTGTACCATTTTCACGCATTCCAATAATTGTTTTCTATCAGCTTCTTCCAATGTGTATACAGGAAAAGGTGCTTCACCATTCGCATCAACGTGTAAGTGAGCTCGATCACAGAATCGTTCTATATCCAATCTTGACTTGATTGTGTCTTTCGATCTACCCGCCACACTCATAAGAGTATTGATGATGTTGTCAAAAAAATTCTTCTCTATATACATCACATCATGATTATGTCGGAGATTGAGGTCCGTCCAGTACAGCAACTCCCAAAATATGCTTTCTTTGTGCTAGTTATGCCACTTCCCATATCCAGCCTTCTTTTTTTCATGACCATTTCCACCGCACTCCGACGTTTTTCCTGGCTTGACAGATTCTATCCGCTCGGTATAAATTTGCTCACCGTTCAAAGACTCTGGTGGATACTCATTGATAGCGTGTCTACCCTTCAAAAAGTCTTTTCTATTTTTCCTTAATGGATTACCCTGAGGAAGAAACCTTCTGTGACAGTCAAACCAACACGTCTTCCTTTCATTTGGCAGTTAAAAAGCCTTTGTGTCTTCCATGCAAATTGGACAAGACAATCTACCGTGGGTTGTCCATCCAGATAACATACCATACGCCGGAAAGTCGCTTATCGTCCACATCAACACAGCTCCTAATTTGAAATTTTGATTCAAGGATACATCATATGCATCTACTCCAACTGACCATAATTCTTTTAACTCCTCGATAAGTGGGCGGAGGAAGATATCAAGACTAGCTCGCGCATGATTTAGCCCAGAATTCAATATTGTAAGGAATAAGTACTCTGTCTTCATGCACATGCCAGGGGGTAAATTATAAGGACTCAAGATCACGGGCCATAGAGAATGATTGTGAGACATGCCAAAAGATTGAACCCATCTGTACATAATCCAAGATAAACGTTACCGGATTCTTCGGCAAACCCGGGATGTAGATCTTGAAAATATCTCCACTCTGCAGCATCAGAGGGATGACACATTTCTCCTTCCTTTGCTTGGTGCTCAGCATGCCATCTCATTGCCGCTGCCGTCTTCTTGCTCTGATACACTCTCTTCAATCTGTTGGCAATAGGTAAATACCACTTACGACTATATGGTATTCTAGTTCGTGATCGTCGTTGACCTTCGTTCGGCTTATACCTTGGTGCTTGACAAAATTTCCATTCCTCCCACATTTCATCTTCTTTCCAGAAGATCATATAATTGTTAATACAAACATAAATTTTATGAAATGGGAGGCCTAAATTTCCCATCAGTTTCTCTGTCTCGTAATTTGAACTGGTTGCCTGATTCCCATCAGGTAGATACTCGGTAAACAAAGAAGCCCATGAATCCACACACTTTTCACTCATATTATAATCTACCTTATTTGCATGAACCGAGCAGCTAAAGATAACTACGAGTGGCCTTCACGACAACCATCATATAACAGTTTTTTTCCAGCATCTTACAGGTTGTAAAACTTTTGGGAATGGTTATGTACAGGTTCTTCTACATTCTAATAATTATCATCTTGATGATAATTATCATGAAATGCATCATTCACCATATGCATATAACTATTTTCAGCAATATGACCCATTTGATCTTTTTCACTCCCACTTATATGAGTTGTATCAACATAACTAGTTCCATAATCCAGATCAGTAATTTCTTCTCCATGCTTATACCAAATATAATAATCCGGCATAAACCCTTTACTATAAAGATGATTCCAAATTTTTCTAAAAATTTGTTGTTTTTGCAAACACTATAAGGGCAGTAAAACTTACCACCGTTGCTTTGTGTTAGAGGCTGATTATTTGCAAAGTTCATGAATTGATCCACCCCTGCTACGAACTCAGCCGAGAAATTCCCCGTCTCTTCATCGATCCTCTTATACATCCATTCTCTATAATTGTGATTTCCCGACATTTTGTTAAAAACTCGTTTTTTTCACTCAAAGATTTTTTCCTCTCATTTTCTTGTTTATTGTTTCTGGTTTATCCGAATGAAGAGAAGAACGATGAGTAAGCCGTATATATAGCTATTTTTCGGACTGTTTTGCGACTGTCCTCCGACTGTTTTACGACTACAAATTATAGTCGTAAATAGTAGATACACCAACCACAAAATGTATAACACGTGTTTTAATTTTTGCGATTCGCCGCAAATGTCGCTTTTTAGTCGCAAAAGAACGACTGTTTTACGACTGCGATTTTCTGACTACATATGAGTCGCAAATTAGTCGTCACTTAGCGACTAATTTGCAACTAGTTCTTTTGGTCGCTATTTGACGATGATAACACCGTATTTTGACCACTTTTATGGATCATAATTGTATCTTATGCAGGTGTTTTAACTCTGTTTTCAATGTTTTTAAAGTGTTTTCAATGATTTAGAGTTTCAAAAGACTTTACAGGAAACTTGGGCAAAAGATATGCAATTTGGAACAAATGAGCAATTTTGGATAAATGCAGACCGTCAGAAGTATGACAAGCGATGAAGACCTTCTCACCGTCCGATAAACCCCAAAATTTGAGACAACATAGAGGATCCAAACAGATATCTAATGCACTTGGTT